TTGTTCCCCAATAATAGCACAGCTAGCATTTAGTAAACCAACAATACAGGTTTTAAAATTAAATCAAGAGTCTATTTGTCAAAGGAAATCTGGCAGAGCAGGTTTGCTATTGTACAAGGTGGCTTCAAACCGTTGGTCCCTCCCCCCAACCCCGTTCTGCACCCTTTCTCCCCCCTCCCCACCCCTACTGTCTCCCTGCCACTCCTGGGCTATTTATTGGACACTTTTTTTGATTAAAATACTCAGGATGATGTTGCTAAACTGAGTCTGGTGTTCAACAGGAGTCAGAGTTAATTACTCTTTTAAACCAGAGGATACAGGAAGAAAAACAACATGAACATAGTCTGTTTTCATTTTTAATTGCTCATGAAACAGAGAAGCAAGACTCTAGGAGATAATGAAGTGGCTGAGCTCTTCCTTAACAAGCCAAGTGGTCTCCTTGGTAATGCTGCACGAGTCCCAGCCCAGGAGGTCTCAGAGGGACAGACCTTGGCTTTGGAGAAACCACAGCACTGGTACGTTTACTGCCTGTTTGAAGATACCGCTCTTTTGTCCGACCTACACCTGCCCCAGTCACTGCTCTGGGAGCAAGGAGCCTGGACATTCATTGTTGTCCAAGGGGCAGGCCCGTGTTCAGATCAGGGCCACGGACCTGCCACATACCAGCTACCTCGCCATGAACAGCAGAAACTTTATCAAGCAGAAAATCAAAGTTGAGCCTCCTTTTTAATATTTTCACAACGTTTGCTCAAACAGCTTTGCTATTGCAGGGATCGTGAAGTTACGTATCAGCTTTGCAGTTGCTTGTTTGAGAAGAGGCCGTAGGACCAGGTGGAAGGAGCACTTCTGGTTCTGTCAGCTCCATCTTTATGGTTCAGAGTCATTAAAATAATAAAAAGTGGTTAAAAATGCTGACCTCCTCCTAGTGTTTGTGATAAGTGACTAAGAAAATGATTATAAACGTCTGCAAGACAGTATAAAATGTAATAAATATGAAATTTTATGGAGCAATTAATTAATTATTTTATTCATTAGGTTGCTCTGTCACTAGTTAATACATAGTCGGACTCCATCAAAGGGGATTCAATTTTAAATTAAACTAAAAGTGATTTCTTTTGCAATTGTAATAATACCATATCTGACTTAATGCTTACTTTGCCCAATGGCTGAGCCCACGTGTGTGTGGGGTTGCAGGGTAGAGGGACAGAAGGCAAGTTGTGGGTTCTGTCTTTCACATGCTCTTTACCTCTCAGTCCACCATGGACACCTGGACTGTTTCCACTCTGATGAGAGGTGCCAGGTGGAAGTGCCTTGATGGCCTTCATGTTGAACTTGGGTTGGAAGTTCAGCTAGTGAGTCCAGCCCAGACACAGGCAATGGGAGAGAGCCCCTTGACCCAGCCTTTGTCCAGCTGCCCTGGCTCTCTCTTTGTCTCAGGGCAGAAACACAGGCTAGGCATTATGCAACGATCTTATGTATCCGAGCTGAAAGAACATAGCCAACAAAAGGAGGGAGAGGACGTCCTTTCATTTTATCTCATTTATAGTAAATCTGGATTGTAGTAGTCATGCACAGGGTGTTCTCAAAGCCACATAATTCCCAGCACCTTTCTATTGTATCTTTGTTAACCAAATGTGAGTGCATGTTTCTGTATCATTTCACAATATGTTGTATAATATATGTAGTGTGTGTACATAAATATATTTTCACTCATTACCATGGTTCTTAATATTTTCTGAATCTATAATTCATTTTAAAATATGAGTCTAAGTGATGGGTCCTCTCTCTAGAAAAATGTGCATAGGTACATGCTCAAAATCTTCATGTAATTTCCTGAAAGTTCATTCATGTTTCAACCAACAGACCCTTGGTAGGTTAAAAGGCTACAATTCCAAAATATTTTTAAATATCATGTGTTGTTAATGGTCTCACTCAGCTTATAGGTTATGTACCATGATTTTTCTGCTTGAAATTGAAAACCTGGAGCCTTATGCCAGTTCCTCATCTACAGCCTGCGCAGTGTGGGGATTTTCTGACCCAAGTCCTTTTCGGTACAGCTAATCTACAGGGAATTTATCAGACACTGATCTGAGGGTAGGGTGTGTTCATGGCAGGAGTATGCTCAGCTAAAGGCCATAGGGACAGTCCGTTTTCAGTTATTATGAAGTTGTGGGTTTTAATCACAAAAGTACACCGGACTTCCAAAATGTTACTCAAAATGTTACACATGCTTCAAGACTAGTTTACACCATGCTTCCTCCATGAATTTTTTTACTTTCAGAAACCATCTGTAGAATCAATTACTGTCTTCCCACCACACTCTCTCACTGTTTACTATAGAGTACTTAGCAAAGTCTCCTGCTTTAAGCCACTGACCTCTAATCCTCTTGTCTCCCTCACTGCAATAGGATGAGCTCGAGGAGAGCTCTTAGTTTTCTGCATGTAGTAGGTAATTTATATGAGTTTTAGAGGCAGTATGTATAGTGCGTAGGCACTTCGGCTCTGGAGACAAAAGACTTGCGTTCCAATCCTAGCTTTGTCATTAACTAGCTGTTTATTTTTAGGAAAAATACTTAATTTTTCCTAAGTATCAATTTTCACCTTTCTGTAAAATAGGTATAATAATAGTACCCACCTAACTGGGCTACTGTGAAGATGAAATAATATAATACATAAAAAGCAGTTAGCACAGCATTTGAATCATAGTGAGTGTTGAATAAAGGTCAGTTACATACTTTTTAAAACTGAATTTAACAGGGAATTTATCTTTTGGGAGTTCCTTCAGATAGTTAACAATGGTATATAGCCAAATATTAAAGGCAGCATCAATTTTGGGGACAGAATTGAAATCTCATTTGGCTGATAAAAGTTTCATATTGGAAGTAATTTTATAATACTGGTTTGCCATCAGCATTGTTTCTATAACATAAAGACAGATCTCTAGCCTCCAAGAGGTCCTAAGATCAGTCGAGCAGGAGACTGATGAAGACAGTATCTTGAATGTGGTTTTTGGGTCCTGTATCCAAATTTCTCTCTAGTCATTGTCAAAAGGACCTTTTTGTTTTCTATCAAAGATTAGATGCTGATAAACTCACTGTTAGAAAAAAATAATAACTTACTTGATTATAGTAATATCTTTGGATGTAAAGAACAACACAGGCATTTACTCTTCAAATACTTTAAAAAAAGTTGTATCTAAATGCATACCTTTAGCTAATTCCTCAAACCTTTCTCAAATTGTGATTATGTTTTCTTGGATTTTGCACATCAGAGTTTGAACAAATGTTTGAGGGCAGAGATTATATGTTATTCATGTTTGTATGTCTAGATACCAGTATATCATCAAATATAGGCAATAGTTGCTGATGAAAAATATACAAAACTATATGTTGTATTGAAAAGGCTGGAGAATTCAGTTGTATTGGAATGTTAATAAAAATTATTAAAAGTATTTGCACTTCAAAGGTTTGAGTAAGGAATCCATTTTTTGAGAACATTTTTTAGTATCCTAAGAAGATAGAGTATCTTGCTTTTGAGAATCAATTTTTGTTAATTAGCAGTGGGTACTTAATTCTTCATTATTGATGAAATCTACACTTACTTTCTTGTTTTTATGTCTTTAATATCTGGTATATTTCTGACTTCCACCTAAATGTGAATTCATTATGTGTTTGTATATACTTACTACCTGCCAAAGTACAGTATGATGAACCTAATTTTTATGTATAAATTACCCAATAGCAGTAATACTCTCAAACTCCCATTGATATAATTTACTTGATGATGAGAAATTGAAGTTATATAAGCATTTAGATTTTTTGGGAATGGATTAAGTAGCCAATTGCATTGATTGATTTCTCTTTCTCCCTTTTCTTTTTCCTTTCTTTCTTTCTTTCTTTCTTTCTTTCTTCCTTCCTTTCTTCCTTTCTTTCTTTCTTTCTTTCTTTCTTTCTTTCTTTCTTTCTTTCTTTCTTTCTTTCTTCCTTCCTTCCTTCCTTTCTTTCTCTCTTTCTTTTTTCTTTTTTTCTTTTTCTTTTAGTTTTTAGTTTATCATCAAAAGACTTTCTTAGTTCTGTCATCCTGTCCCCCCATATCTATCCCAGCTCCAGGTGCTGGCTGACAGCCCAGGGAAGCCCAATGCTAAAATACATACCAGATGGAGCCATAAACCTTGGAATACCAGTTTCTCCCTATGCCCAAAGCAAATCAACTGGATGGGAAAGGCTTTTGAAAATGTTCCAGTTGTGCTTTGTTGGAAATAAATACATTCTTAAGCTGCAACATCGTGTAGAAGGAAGCTGTTTTATGGGAGGGATCTGCCAGGAATTCTTTCAGCACTAAATTTTTTACAAAAGCTCTACTAAAATTGAGATCAGTAATTTTCTTGTATTTAATGATTTTGTGAATGACAACCAAAGGTCTCCAAAGAATCCTGTTGAAAACTCTGGGGATAATTCATTTATGACATATGGCTTAATATCTGAAACAGTATCAAGGGGTGAAAATTCTCCTGGCCAATCTTCTCATGCTGCTGAACTATTTTTTTTTAAACAATGTCTATTGTCTTTGATAAAATACCTCTAACTCAGAGGCCTATAAAGTACAGAAATGGCCCTAGAGACATAGTCTGAATTAGGGTTACATCTGAGCAGTATCATTTATAGAAGTCCTATAAAGATGAGCTTCAATTAGCCACGATATGTGAGATAATTCCCAGGGACACAGATATTCTCAGACCATCAGAGAGTAAGGATCCTGCTTGACTTCTAATAATTTCAAATCTGCTTCAGAGCAAATTGAATTCCTTGTAGATCCTTGTAAACCAATTTAATCCTTTTGGGGGGATATCCTGGATCTATTTCAAACCCATGCTCTTTGACTGTGGTCATCACTGTGGCTGACCCTGAATGAAGCCATCTCCAAGGGTGAGATTCAGGCTCCAGGACCGGGTCTAAGGCCGTTGGCCACTCTGCGCCTGGTTCACTGTTGAGCTCTCCTACCTGATACAGGTTGGCAAGGTGGTGGTTAGTTTTGATCAAAAACGGCTGGTTCACCCCGGGATGGTCAACATCGTGGGCTGCTGCAGCCAACAGTCCAAGCATGATGTCCAGAGGTGTGAGGAAGCTGGCGAGCTGTTAAGAAAGTCAAATTGCGAGGTCAAAGGGTATGTTTTCACAAACAGGTTACCATTTGTTTTGGTTAAATCATACTGAGTGAAGCATCACAAAGCTGCCCAGGCCTTTCATCCTTCAGACTTCTATCCTCTGAAGCAGTCGGTGAGGTGAGAGTCACATGGAATTGCAAGAAAAAAGAAAGGACTGTGCAGAAAGTAACTGAGCAAGTCAAATGGTGTAGACCATTCAGGTACCCTCCATTTCCTACTGCCACTCTGTTTCCTTTTATTGTTGCAGTGTTGTTGCCTGTCTGTGGGTAAGGAGAAGTCAGAGCCTGAAACCAACCTTGCTCCAGAGAAAACTACAAATGAAGTAAAACGTTAAAACCAAAATGATGGACACATAAAAAAATAATTTGTATATTTCAACCACCCACTATATCATTGCCACACTTTGAATATGAAATTCAAAGTGTGCTGAATGCCCAGCCCGTGTGGCTCAGTTGGTTGGACATTGTCCTACGCACCAGGAGGTTGCCCGGTATAATTCCTGGTTAGGGCACATGCCTGGGTTGTGGGCTCAATCCCCAGTAGGGAACTTGTAGGAGGCAGCCAATCATGTTTCTCTCTCATCAATGTTTTTCTCTCTCCCCCTCTCTTCCTCTTTTTGAAATCAATAAAAACATATTAAAAAGTGAATTGCAAAATTTGCATATTTATTCAACGTGTAATAGTGGAGTGTGTGGGTGTGTGAGAATCTCTCTCTCTCTCTCTCTCTCTCTCTCTCTCTCTCTTTCTCTCTCTCTCTGTTAGCTAGGAAAACAAGCAGGGGAATGGGAATCTAACACTAACTTTAAATATATAACTTTCAGGCTACCTGGAGATTAAAAAAGAAAGCCTTTAATGTCTTCGGGCTGTTTTATACGGATGAGGCATTTACCCAGTTTTGTCTTGGGAATGTTTGTTTGGCATCTGCATAGTCAGTGGTAGATGTTAAAACTGATTGAACTGAACAGAGTCTTGGACTGGGATTTTATTTTCAAAAACCTTAAGAAATTCATCCTCTATGTTTTACCAACTTTATACGACTAAGAAATGCCTCGGTCTGTAGTAACAAGCACTGTTCTCATGTTTTTAATTTTGGATTGGTTGATGACATCAGAGCACACTTGCTAAGAGGTCTGTGCCGTTCACTCATTTTCTTGGGCCTGAATCAGGATATTCAGTTGCCTTAGTAGGAAGTGGAGTTTGAGCCTTGAGGAGTTTTGATTCTACTTGTCCATCAACAACCATGAGGTGGGGGACCGTTCCCAGAAAATGTCAATGCTGGTACCATTTGTAGCAAAGATTCAAGGCAAAATGGCTAGTTCCTGGGACTGTTGAAGATATATAAGATGCAGACTATCATGGGGAGGATTTTTTTTTTGTCCTAATGCAGCCTTTCATACAAGTTATGAAAGGAAACCTCGGAAAATGTACATCCTCTTTCATGAGTATTGCACGATTATCAGAGTTGATATTGGAACTGGAATCTAACAATTTGTAGTTGTGTTATAAAGGACCCATCACAGCTATTCTGGTATGTTGGGTGATTTAGAACCCAGCAAGTAGTTGACGTGGCATTTCCAGATGGCTGAGGAGGCAGCCTGGTCTGGCCTTACCTTTGGCTCCTTCAGGTAGCAGTGCATGGCCTGGGTGACATCGGCTGCATGGACGGCGTTGTGATACGGGTTTTGGCTGTGGTAATCTTCTTGAACCATGACTAGGAGGTAAACAGATATCTCAGTCAGTTAAAACCAAAACAGGAAGACCTCAGATTTATTAAGGGTCCCTTTTGCTTAAAAATATTAGTGACTCCAAAATGTGCACCCAAGGGATTCTTTAAAAATGAACATGGCTTAGGAGTTTCACAGTTCTACTGAGCTGCTTTTAGTGGCGAGAAGGGGGAAGGCAGATGGGGAAAAGGTTAAAAGGATTTGTGAGGCCCTTGGGAACCCTCACCACCTTCATTAATCATCCCTCTCTGGCATGCATGAAGGCTTTCATTCATAGGAAAAATAAATATGTCGGAAACGAACAACTTTACTTCACACTATAGTTTAATTATTTAATTTTGCTGCCATTTATGAATATTATGCCATAAGAGAGGTTTCCTTTTAAACAGCCCCAGTAGGTAGCATCACACTCCTGAGATCCAAGATGGGTCTACCACTTGAGTAACAAATACTGACCACAGCAAATCTGGGGCTTCTTCAGGCAGATTTTCTATTTACGGTGTTGATCCAACTGAGGACTCCCTGGCTTTATTTCTGCCTCATTCAGAGCAGTTATCATCTCTCATGCCCTTCCAATTTAAGGACCAGAGTGCTCTTGGAATCAAGTAGAGACATAAGCAGGGCAATTTTAATTGGCTATTTAGAGAAGCCACTAGCCTGCTTCAGCTAATGACCAAGGCAATGCTTAGGATGCAATATAGCCAGTATGTATAGAACATCCAGGTTTGCAAGTGTGGTCATATTTTGTCAGCCCATGCTGTGAGTTTGGCTCTGGATTCTGGTGTTATTTTTGTCATCAAATCTTTGCATTCTTTACATGTACTCTGAGTGCATACACATGCCCAAAGTATCTGCATTCTCCTTCTCTAGAAAAATCAAAACTATTTGGCCTTGTTCATGGCCATTACTTTGCTCAAGCAATCTAACTTCAATTGCCTGAGGTTATTTGTATTTCTGAAACTGATCCATGTTGTGGCTGCTTTCAAAATTTCCTGTTGTGTCACGTATACCTTTTATTCAGCAGGTTTATTTTACACTTATATTTGAATTCTGCCCCTAGCATTATTATTTGTATCAGGCAAGTGACTTAACCACAAGGATCCTCAGTTTATTTCTCTATAAAATGGGAATAACAATGACTCCAATCTCAAAGGGCTATGGCAAGTGTTAATATATGCAAGTCCTTAGAAGAGTTCCCAGCATATGTAAGCACCATGTAAGCCTGGTTGCTGCTACTGTTGCTATCATTTTCACTGCTATTTTACTATTGATGACAGACATCAAGTCAGCTTTCAAATTCAAAGCACAGAAGCCAGAAACATGCTAAGTGGCAGCAAAAAGTTATGTGGTGATTAAAAATGTGCCCTAGATAATTCACTGGCAGGTAAATAAGGATGCACATAACGTCAAATAAGACTGGGGCTGTTTTGGACAGAGAGTGATGGTGGAGTTAAGGGGAAAGATGGTGGTCTTTCAAGTCAGAGAGCCCGGGTTTAGATTGCGGCTCTGCCAATGATAAGTTGTTGACCTTGAGCAAGGTACAAGACCACTTTGTACTTCTCCTTAACTCTGGGCCAAGTGGTGGGGATAATGCCCAACTTGCAGGGTTGTTGAAATGATTAGAAATAACATACCACTACATAAATGGTAGTTCTTATTACTAAAAAAATGTCTATTGAAGATATTCAACAGCTCATGTCCAGATTGGGATTCTTTGAGGCATGCCTTACTGGAGTTTTATTGACATGTGAACAGATCAGTAACTTCTTTTTTGGGTCCCTGCTCTTATTGGTTTTCTCTGTATGGCCTTTATTGGATGTAAACATAACTAACCAAATAAACATTTTTTTTCAGTGATTTAAATGGGTAAACCATATTTTAAAATTAAGATGAGATAATTTGAGATTAATTTGAGGTCTTCATCTACCATGCTAGGGTTCCTGCTAGTTTATTGTGGACTGTCATTATTCATGGCAAAGGAGGTAGGAATATGAAAGAAAAAGAGACTTACCTAAAAACCTGTGTAAGGTCACCATATCTAACTTGAAATGGTGAATGAGTCCATGGGTGTTGAAGAGGTGGCACAGCAGTGTTACCAGGCTGTTTCCTGGAGGAAAACAGTCACCAGTTTTAACTCCTTTTCATTACCATTAAATTATCAAGATTGACAATAGGATCCACAGTTTCTGTGATGAAAGGTCTCTAATAGGATCATTTATTTTCCCCTTTAAATTTGAAATTATTCAAGCATAAAGGATATCATTACTATGATCTGGTCCTAGGTTTCCTCTTATTGTACAAAGAAAATTAGTTCAGATTGTCACCCTATACCAAAGGCAATGAATTATTAGCAATATTAAGAGTTATAAGGAGTTATAGAAGGAATCTGCCTACTTAGGTATCAATCAAGATTATACTTACCTTGAAACATTTTATAACTCAAGTTGGCAAAGATGCAAATTTGAAGCTACAATAACATGTAAATATTGAAGGAATATTATTTACTAAAGAATCATGATTTTGAATTTTAAAAGTATCATAGAATTTATGAAAGACTGTGAAATGGGCCAAGAAGACGACTGGATGTCTTAAATAAAAACAATGTGTTGCCTAAGAATACTCTTCCAGGGTACCTCATTCTATGTGTTCCTGCAACTTTCCTTGTTTTGGGCTATTTCACAACTATCAAGCTGTAGATAACTGATAGTATTTCAAGCAACCCTTGTCCATATACATGCAAACGAAATAATTCAGATGGAAATATAATTGATGTCCTCTTCCCAGTTTTATAGCTATTTATAAATTCATGTGTTTCTTACTGCTTATATATGTGTGGCTCTTTGAATGCTCTTTTGAAAGACCTGTAGCATCTTACCACATCGCTAATTAAGTTAAACAAATCTTTGCCATGTGCTCATTTCATATTTCTATGAGTCATGAGTATAATCTCTTTTGAACATGTTCTTTGGTTCACAGTTAATTTCATTTACTGGTACCAATTTCTCAGATGATTTGAGCAAAGGGAGCTAAGAAATTATGGAATCCATCCCTATGTGGCCTAGTTAGCTTTCTACAGTGGAAAGCTCAGTTTTATGGTCTGAGGCTGTACTCTCTCCACTATATGTTGTTTCTCCAGTAATAGAATGATGAGAAAACAAGTTGCAATGACAAATCACAAGCTTTGTAGATGGTGGGAATAGGAAAGTTAGCATTAAATATGATGTCTTTCATTGGCTCCCTAAGCTCATCAGCATTTGTTGAATAGGCAGATGAAAATATAATAGGATTTTATTATTTTCTTAAAGAAAGCCTTTGTAGGCACAAAAATTTTAAAAGTGAAACCAAAGACAATATCTACTTTCCTTTCAGCTGCAGCCTAAGCGTTTCTACTCTATCCTCAGCAATTGTTTTCATCTGAAGACGCCAAACATACCTGGACAATACCGGGCGCGAGGGCAGGTTTGACTCACTTAATGAAAGTGCACAATTACCTGCCCTGCAGGACTGATCAGATGAGCAGTTTCTAACATTATTGGCTAACATTGAACTTCCTCTTTTTGGAGAGAGCCAAAGTGCTCTGCAAGGACAGAATCTAATCTGTGGTTTCCTAATTCCTTTGGGATCATCAAGGCCAGAAGGAAACTGTCTTAAGACTTTAAGGCCAAATTTATTCATTATTCTTTTTCAGCAGTAATTTTCCCTGCCCTGGTCCTCCTTGAGTGGCTGGAGACTTATGAAAGTGGGGGAAAGAGGGAAAAAGGATTACCAATGTTTAAAAATAAGTATTGTTTTCATAAAATTAATCCCATTTATGGTGTATATTTTAGTGTGAATTCTTTGGGGTGACTTACCATTTGTCAAGCGATCAAACAAGAAAATGTCAAAATCCCACATTCCCACTTTGGAGAGCATATGCTGAAAGGCAAAAAAAAAAAACCACTCAAATGAATCACATTGAAGACTCAAATATTCACTTTGAGACACAGTCGCTTAAACAATTAAGATGGTGAAAATACAGTAGCATTCTACTATCAACGTACAACTGTTTTGTGGTGAAATAAATCTTACTCTACTGGCTAATCACAACAGTGTTAAAGGGACAGGCTCAGGGATCAGTCTGCCTGATCTGATGTCAACCACATCTCTTATTGCCTGTGGAACTGTGGGCAGGTTCCTTAACTTCTCTGTACCTCAGTTTCCGAATTTGAAAAATGTGGCTGATATTATTCCTTCAGAGGGTTGTTGTAAGGATTAAATAAGGTAACGTATGTAAATATAAATGCCTGTAATTTAAGGGCTTATAACAGTGCTTATACATAGTAAGCACACCCATGTTAGATGTCTGTTAAAACTATAGTTCAGTGAAGCCTCTACATGGTAAACTATTATTCACTTAAGGCAGGTTTACAACTAATTTTAATAAAATGGAGTCAAAATGATGGCTGAGCACATTATTCTGCTCAACGTGGGACTAAATGTGAAATGAACCACTGTAACAGAAAACTGAAGAGCGAGCAATTAAAAATATTGGGGAAATCTAAAGACCTACTTTCAATAGGCTTATCCTATTTTTCTTTTAAAATACCCCAATGCTTAGAAACTCTCAGTTAGACACGTAGTTGCAGATGCTGATTCTCTCCTCACTGTAGCTTCTGCGACTGCCTTCCTTCTTCTCCGCTCACGGCCATGGCTAAGGTCAGGACCAGCTCCTGCTCCCCTACCTGCCCCTGAATGGCTTTGTATCTTGTGAAAAGTCCAAAGGCCTCATCGTGGCCCACGGAGACTTTCACAACAACATCAGGGCAATGAAGGGTTAAGAGGTTGTTTGTGAGATCTAGATGGAGTGAGCATTTTACCCAAGTCATACAAAGCTAAGGGCCAAGCCAGGACTTGGTGCTGATACATGAATTCTGGCCCGCTGCTCTTCTGTATCTCAGCGTTGCCTTTCTCGAGAGGTGGCTGCTGTCACTGAGGCTCCGGTGCTGAGGGCTTGGTCTTATTCTCCTCTTACCAAACAAATGAACAACAACAAACAAATTCGCTCAATTCAGGCCTTGGGTTGTTAGAAGGAGTGATCCCCGACCCCTTCTCTTTTGTGGACCTAATATTGGGAATTAGTTCTTCTGATATTACTTGCTACTTATTTCTTAATAGTATATATGTAGCATAATATTACTTAGCATGTAAACTATAAGACACTACCTTTGACTTATATTTAAACTGAGGCAGTTTATTTCTAAACTCTCAATTCCTTTGGCAGTTTGGGTTAGAGATAGCCTGCAGGCTTTTGTTTAGAATGTCACACATTAGTGTCTACCTCAGTTGGACCAGTGAATGGCAAAAATAATTATAAAATTAGTAACAATTATTTGAATGAATTAAAAATTATGGAAAAGATAATGCACCATATTGCTATCTTAAAATGGAATTAAGAGTTGGTAATTATTGGGTTAATTTCATGGTAGCTATTACAATGAGATAATTCAATGGGTTAAATATGTTTTGCACATTTATACACTAAAAATAATTAGGTATGAATATATTTAGCATGCAAACATGCTTTACCTCATCACCCCTATGAGGTGTGTATTTCCATTAACTTCATTTTATATTAGAGAAAAAAGTTCAGAGATGTTGAGTAACCAGCCAAAGCCACAGAGCATCTCAGTGTCAGAAGCAGGACTCAACCCTACTACCCGTGGTGGCACATGCTCTCGGGCCCTGTCTGCGGTGAGGTGGCACGGGGGTAGCTAGCTCACCCTTGCTTGTCCAAGGTAGTCTTCATCCAGCAGGTGGAGAGGGGCCTGTGGGATAATTCCACGAAGCAGCCTCGATGCATGGAAGTATCTTTGAAAGCTTAACAGTCTTTTCACCTTTTTCTTGGTGCCAATTTCCCCTGAGTGTGTTGTATCTGTGGAAAGTAACCAAATTCAGAAATTATATATTTATAAGGCCCATTTTACCCACTATGTAAAAATACAAGGTATTATAAAGGAGAGAAGTATTAAAGATGCTCTCAAGCCCAGGTGGTATGGCTCAATGGTTGAGCATCGACCCATGAACCAGGAAGTCATGGTTTGATTCCCAGTCAGGGCACCTGCATGGGTTGTGGGCTCGGTCCCCAGGAGGGAGCCCACATAAAAATAAAAAACATATCCTATATAATAAAGAGGGAATATGCTAATTGACCCTCACACCTTCACACAAGATGGCCACCCCCATGTGGTCAAAAGATGGCTGTCAAAAGATGGCCGGCAGAGGAGGGCAGTTGAGGTGGGGGCAAGCCTGCAGGGGAGGGCAGTTAGGGGCAACCAGGCTGGCAGGGGATGTCAGTTGGGGGTGACTGGCTGTCAGGGGAGGACATCTAGGGGCAATCAGACCGGCAGGGGAGCAGTTAGGCATCAATCAGGAGCAGTTAGGCATCAATCAGGCTAGCAGGCAGAAGCGGTTAGAGGCAGGCAGGCAGGCAAGCAGTTGGGAGCCAGCAGTCCGAATTGTGAGAGGGATGTCCAGGCCTAAACTGGCAGTCGGATATCCCCCGAGGGGGTCCCAGATTGGAGAGGGTGCAGGCTGGGCTGAGGGACAACCCTCCCTCAGTGCACAGATTTTGTGCACTGGGCCTCTAGTTTTTTTTATAAAGATGCTCTCAATGCTTTCTTAAATATAGTCTATTTAACTCTATATTTAAAATTTTTCTAGAACAAAAAGTAATATTTCTTATATATTATATTTATTAAAATACTGAAATATTTTTAGCCCTGGCCAGGTAGCTCAGTTGATTAAAGCATCATCTCCATACACCAAGATTGTAGGTTGGCTACCTGGTCAGGACACATATCAACCAGTGAATGCATACACAAGTGGACCAACAAATCAATCTTTCTCTCTCTGTCTCTCTCTCTCCCCGTCTCCCTTCCCCTCTCACTAAAAACCAATACGTTTAAAAAAATTTTTAAAGTTGAGATATTTTAAAACGTAATTTTCGAAGACAAAGTGTATGAATTAAAAACTGCATTTTCTTATTAATGATGCCAATATGCTTAGTAAGAAAAATTCCCATACTTCTGCATGAATTTAAAGAAACAGTTAAGGTTTTTTCTGCTGCATTAGAACGAATGTTTGAAAATTTAGATTAGGTTCTCATTCTACACTCATTCTAGTCTGATCACACCCTGCACCTGAAGTAGAAGGATTGAGCATACACTAGCTTAGACAAGAGGAAATGTTTTCTAATGTTCCAAGAATATCAGTGGCAAAGGCACCAACAATCTCAGCCTAAAAGCCACCTACGTTCTCTTGACATGCAGCGTTTGCTTTCTAACGGAGCACATTCTCTTGTGCTGGTGGCCGTGAGAGTCTGATCCTGACAGTAGAGAGATTTTAATACTCATTCACATGTACCTTTCAAAACTTGACTGTTGACATCGTGGTGATTGCCCAGAAATACCCCAAGCACATTATTTGAATGCCTGTCAAGGTAAGTCTTGTCTCAGCTGAAATGCTGTGAGTCACTCTATGGCCACGTCAGAGACATCTGCTGCCAATTTTGGATCTGGAGTCAATTGAACAGTTTAGTAGGAAAATGTACTGTTCATGTATAAAGAACTTTGGTTTCTCTCATGCCTCCTCCCATCTGCCCTTTCCCTCTATGGAGCTCAAAATCACAGTGGATGCCAGAGGCAGCAGAAATAGTGGTCCGGGGCTCCTTAGCAATGTGGCCCTCCCCTCCGACAGTGAGTGAGTGACTGGTATCGGTTTGTTACTTATGTTGTATTATACATGCTGAGGCATAATTCAGGGCAGACAAAACCTACTGTTCTCTGGAAATGCTGCCTAATTAATTTTTTATTTTATTTTAAAATGAATCTAGATTTCATGTGTGGAAAGAGGCAAACACATAGATTAGAGGAATATAATAAAAGTTGGGTGTTTAGGCACATATCAATATTAAAAAAATGGATTATATGACTCAATTCTACTAGTGAGTTCTTACTCATTTTTATCAGTTTATCAAGTCAAAGTACAAGATAAAGTAGGTGATTTATCTATTTAAAAAATATTTTGAGCCTGGCTGGCATGGTTCAGTGGTTGAGGGTTGATCTATGAATCAGGAGGTCATGGTTCGATTCCTGGTCAGGGCACATGCCTGGGTTGTGGGCTCGATCCCTGGTCGGGGGCATGCAGGAGGCAGCTGATCAATGATTCTCTCTCATCATTGATATTTCTATCTCTCTCTCCTCCCTTCCTCTCTGAAATCAATAAAAAATACTTATATAAAAATATTTTGAGTGTTACTAAGGACAGACAGACACTGTTCTAGAAACCTGATGAGATCCTTCAGTTCTGGATGCCCCAGGGAGAAAAACAAAGATCCCTGTCCTCATTCTAGGACAGAGAGACAGACAATAAGCAAGAAACATAAAGAAGAAGTAATTTACAACAATGTGTTAGAAGGTCTTAAGTGCAATGGGTAAAAAAAAAGGCGAGCAGGGAATGAGGGCTCAGAAGTTCTGTGTTGAGGGAGGGAGTTATGTTTGGTGTCATCAGAGTCTGCAATTAAACAAACAAACAAACTTGAAGTAGATGAGGGAGCTGGCCAAGCAGATATCTGGGGAAATGCCTTCAATACAGAGGGACCAGCACCAATAACTCTAGAGTGGGAAGGATCCCTAGCATGCTGGTATGCAGGAAGGAGAGCAGCACCTGTCCTGCGGGGATGGAGATGGGAGAGAAAGGGGGGAGTAAGAGGTGAGGGCTTAGAGCAAAGGGGGTATGAGAATCATACAGGACCCTGTAGGCCATTGCAACATTTGGGCTCTACTCTGAGTGAAACATGGAACCACTTCAAACACTTTGAGTGAAAGGGTGGTACAATCATGCTTACATTTAAAATAGGTCATCCTGGCTTCTGTGCTGAGAGCAGATTATAGGAGTAAGTTTTGATGTAGTGAGACCTGTTGAGGCCATTGAAATACTCAAGGCATGAGGTTATGGCTGCTCACACCATGTGAGAACAGTGTTGAGGTAGGGAAAAGATCCTGACTATATTTTGGGTACCTCCAAGTTTTTGGCCTGAATAACCAGGATAATGGAGCTGCCATCATCAGAGATGGGGAAGGCTGCAGGTGGAGCAGGTGTGGGGGTGGATTTCAGTTTTGCATATGTTGAATTTGGAAGTCTATTAGAAAATCAGGTGAAGATGTCAAGTAGAAATAAGTGTGGCTCAGTGGTTGAGGGTCCAGCCATGAACCAGGAAGTCATGGTTTGAATCTGGGTCAGGGCACTTGCCTGGGTTGTGAGTTCAATCCCCAGTAGGGGACGTACAGGAGGCAGCTTATTGATGATTGATGATTCTCTCTCATCATTGATGTTTCTGTCACTCCCTCTCCCTTCCTCTCTCTGAAATCAATAAAAAACACACACATGAAATAACAGAAATAAGCGGATATAAAATCCAGAGCTTGGGGGAGAAGACTGGGTTAGAAACATAAATTTAGTTGTCAGATGAGATGACCTAGGGAACGAGCGTAGATACAGATGAGAAAAGCATCCAAGTCTGAGTTCTGCAGTACTTCAACTTTAACGGGTATGGAGAAGAGTAGAAAAGATCAAGAGACAGAAGGAGTACCCAGAGGGTTGGAGGAAAACCAGGAGAGTACCATTGTTTGGGAGGCTAGTGAAGACAATATTGTGAGGAGAAAGTTGTGACCCTCAGTCTTAAATGCTGCTAATAGATCGAATATAATGAAGACTGAGCATTGACCATGGGCATATAAATCTGTCAGAATTCATTGAACTATGCTGGTTATGCCAAAAAATAAGGGAGAGCTCAAAGAGTGATGGGATTACTTAAAAATGACAGAGGAGACAACTTGAAGGGATCCCTCTGAGCAAATATGGGAAAACTGGAGCATCAAAATGGAAAATGGGAGAATGGATCATAAACCCTAAGAATCCACAGTCCATACTGGTAGTAAGCAAGTAAATAGTAAATAAATAAATAAGGAGAAGGGAAAGTTCTTTCTTTGCAGAGAGTGACAACCAATAATGTAGATGAAATTAAGAGTTAGAAAATTACCATTTTGCAGCCTTTATAGTAAAAACTGATTCAAATAGAATCACCCATGGATACTAACATTATTAAGCCAAAGTTTAAAAAGCAACAAAATAATTACATTGTATCAAAGTATCTTCCCCACAAATATTCATTAGAAAAAAAAAAGAGTGGTATTTTAGTGAACAAATGTTCTACTATTTTAAATAAAGTTATCATCACCGGTGATGGGAGAAACTGACCTCATATGCTTCCTGATATAATGTGACATGGCCTGTGTAGTGTTCCTCCACCAATGGCACATCTGACCCCAATAAAAAGGAAATACCAGAAAAACCCAAGTTGAAGGATAATCTACAAAATGATTGACCTATACTCTTAAAAAATGTCCATGGTATAAAAGACAAACTTGGGTATTGTTTCATGATATTAGATGCCAGATATAGTGCACTAAATGCATAGCATGACCCTGAATTGGATCCTGGATTAGAAAAAATTTCCATAAATGAAACTATTAGGGAAATTTGTGAAATGAGGATATGGACTTAAATATGAGTTACATGTTATTTTTCCATACATGAGTTACATACAGTAAATGTAGATGATCAGAAAGTAATTGTTTCTATTCACTAAAATTGTCATTTTGATTTAAATACTATTGATCTAATGATCCTGTGAAATGGAGACATTAAGTTTAGATCCATTTTATCCTTAAACCAAAGAAGAAAACAAGATTCTCGCCTTCCCTACTTGTTTGTTTCACCCTGTAATCAAACAGATAACAGTCCACAAATATGACAGAACACAGATCTCTTGATCTTGATTTAAATTTATGATATTCCTTGGCCTTAATTTTTAAAAAAA